TCACCATTCGGCACAAGCGATGCCTCGGTTTTTGTCGAGCTCGAAGCGAAGTCCATCCACATCCGGCAGAGCGCCGGCGTCCACTTAAAGAATATGTTGAAGCAGAGCAGCGAAGTTTGCCTTGTTGATGAAGCAACAGAGGCATTTTTATGCATGCAGGTGATGAAGGCTCTGAGCCATCCGGCCAAAATCCTACGTCACACGGCAGGAAGCGTGCTGGCTTCCTTGATGAGGCGACGACTAGACCTCGGAGTCATCGATAAGCTCTGGCAGCAGCTGCATGTCAACAGTGCAGATGTGGTGGAGGGTAGCATGTGGGCCTTGACCCTCACATCCGAAGATCTGCTGGGGCAGGGCGTGGATGAAGCTTTCGTGAAGATCGCTTGTGCCAAGATCTTGCCGCGAACCATAGAGCTCACAGACCAGAGACTCCCTTCTTGGCTGCGGAAGCAATCCTCTGACTTGCTGATGCAGTACCTCGTCCAGGGCGCCTTCGACCCGGAGAAGTGGCCTGCCGGAGCCGGAATGCAAGGGAGCTTCCTCTCGAGCCTCGGCGCTTTGGCGATGAGCGAAGATGCAGAGCTGGTGCAAAATGCCTGCAAGGGCTTCTGCTCTGTCATCGAGCAGCGCTGGGCTGTGCTGACGCAGGACCATATCGGTATGATCCTTGGCTTCATGCTCCGCGCAGGAGAGCATGCTGACGAGGATGTTCGCCGTGAAGCGTTGGCAGTTTGGAGAGTGGCTTCAGAGGCTTCAGCTCTGCATCCACTCCTGGAGCAAAACCTGCCGGAACTGACCAAGGTCCTAGCGAACTTGGTCTACAGCTCAGCAGACATGATGGCGATGGACGCGGGCTCCTTGGACAACGACAATGCCGACCGACCGGATTCCTTGGAGGAGATCCAGCCGCAATTTCACAAGGAAGGCGGCTTTAGTGACATGGACAAGGCTGAAAGGGCAGCTGCAGGTTCTTCCTTTCTGAGCGAGGAGTGGACAGCACGCCGTGCAGCAGCCGATGCGTTGGATGCTCTGGCTGGCTATGCGGGCACGCGCCCACAAGTGTGCTCCCGCATGCTCCCAATGATTTCTGAGAAGCTTCAGTCCACTGGCTGGAAACAACAAGAGGCTGGCATCCATGCCCTCGGTTGCATCGGTGCCAGTTGCATTCAGGTGACGCCCGAGCTCCTGGATGGCATGATACGGCTCCTCCTCTCAAAGCTTACGGCAGAGCAGCCCCTTCTGCGCAGTGCCGCTTGTCTGAGCTTGACCCAATTTCTGCCCGGCGTCATCATGTTGGTTAGCGGATCATTGCCCGTGGTGATGTCTGCCATCCTGGAACGCTGCCGGGACCGGAACAAGCACGTGCAAGCTGCAGCTGTCGAGTCGTTAACAACCATTTTACAAGTCGGCCTGCAGGC